CAATCCCTCGGAGACTCGATCCTGCCAAGACGATCATGGACATGCCAAGCGTTTCAGAAATACACTCCGCTGCCTTAAGACCCGCAGCCAAAGATAGCAGAGGCTTGAAGAGGAGAGAGAGAGAGAGAGAGAGAAAATGTGTATGTTTGTGTGTGTGTGTGTGTGTGTGTGTGTGTCAACAGAGGAGAGTCCAGACAGAGCTCATAATAAAACAAGAATCAACATCAGCTTCAGGAGAAGAATTGAGGGATTTAAATGTAGTAAAAGTAAAAAAAAAAAAAATGGTTACACACTATTTTAAGCTGTTCTTGTTACAGTGAAATAATACATTTTAGTACTAAATAATATTAATTAAGAACATGTGCTTACTATAATTAGGGCTAGGGTTAAGTCATTTAATCCCTTAAAACTCATCTTTGATCACCAAAATTGCATATTTAAAACGTCCATGCCTTAAAATATCGTGCCTGTAACTTGACACCCTTTCCTCATTTAGTATGCACGGTTCTATGAATATGCAAATGAGCCCCGCCTCCACGCACTCGTTCAGATATCCACTGGTTGACGATCACACGTTGATCTGATTGGTTACAAAGTCGTTTGTGACGTCAGAATCACCAGCGATTTCAAACGACTGTCTTTGGTTCACTCCAGTTTTAAAGGAGAACTCCGGGCAATTTTAACATTGAGCTCATTTTTCTTGTACATTTGGAGTGCTGTCGGTACAGACAAAACCAACAAAAATCTGTGTTGCCTACACCGTGTTATCGTCTTTTTAAAATTCGCCCTCTGTTGACTACAATGGGTCAACTTCTAAACCTGCTTTTATCCTCTTAACATCCTTGATTAGTCATTACGAGTGCACAGCCATGTGAGTGGTGTTATTAAGAGTGACCACGGTCAATCTGACTGCAGTAGATGTGAAAGATATGAATAAAAATGATGTTAAAGGGTTAGTTCACCCAAAAATGAAAGTTAAGTCATTACTCACCCCCATGCTGTTCCAACCCCGTAAGACCTTCGTTCATCTTCGGAACACAAATAAAGATATTTTTGATTGAATCTGAGAGCTAGATCAGTCCTACATAGACTGCCTAAGGGACTGGCTCTTGACGGCCCATAAAGTCATTATAGAAAAGGTTTAAATATTCCATGTGCCTACAGCGGCTCAATTATAAGTTTATCAAGCGACGAGACTACTTTTTGTGCGAAAAAAACATAAATAACGACTTTATTCCACTATTCCATTACTTCCTTATGGGCGCATGCGCGAGAAATTGAGACGGGGACGTTCTCATTCGTCTACTTCTTGTTACCGGCTGCTCACCGCTTAGGAGTTTTACCGCCACCTACCGTATAAAATGATGATCCATATATAAGGCGCTCCGGATTATAAGGAACACTGTCGTTTTTTGAGAAGATTAAAGGCTTTTAAGTGCACCTTATAGTGCGGAAAATACGCTAATTGAAAAGCGTATGTACAGCGCGCATCTTCCTCTGCTTGTAAACAGAAAGTTTTGCGCTTCCAGCTATATCAGCACATCATCTTATACGGTAGGGGGCGGTAAAACTCCTAAGCGGTGAGCAGCCGGTAACAAGAAGTAGACGAATGAGAACGTCCTCGTCTCAGTTCTCGCGCATGCGCCCATAAGGAAGTAATGGAATAGTGGAATAAAGTCGTTATTTATGTTTTTTTCGCACAAAAAGTATTCTCGTCGCTTGATAAACTTATAATTGAGCCGCTGTAGGCACATGGAATATTTAAACCTTTTCTTTAATGACTTTATGGGCCGTCAAGAGCCAGTCCCTTAGGCAGTCTATCTAGGACTGATCCAGCTCTCAGATTCAATCAAAAATATCTTTATTTGTGTTCCGAAGATGAACGAAGGTCTTACGGGGTTGGTACAGCATGGGGGTGAGTAATTAATGACTTAATTTTAATTTTTGGGTGAACTAACCCTTTAATTCAGCCAGCTCACATACCTCTATTTGCTTCCTGTTTTCGGTCGAAGCCCACAGTAGTCCATTGTCGAGTTCACGCGCGCGATCATTGGTGAATATCATCTCAAACCTAACACTATTTTTGTTTTTGACAGCAATCCAAATGTACAAAAAAATGAGCTCAATGTTAAAATTGGCCGGAGTTCTCCTTAGCAATGCTGTCGAATTTACATCTTAAAACGTATTAAAAACACCATATAGACATAAACAACATTAAAAGCTAGATTTTCACATAATTACTGTAAGGCTATTGCCGGCGTAAGTAGGCCCAGAACATCCAGTTTTTAAAATGTTTTTTTTTTTTTTTTTTGGTTATGCAAACATTAAGGAAATATTCCATTGTGCAAACAATAATGGGAACGTTACTTTTAAATGTTTTCTGAAACATTTAGCCCTATTTAAACAATGTCCAACTAAAACATTTCTGTGAAATAAAACACTCTGGTGTTTGTGCTCGTGTTGTGAGAACGCGAAAGGCCGCATAACTCTGTTCTATTAACGTTCCGGGTTCACTTTAATTTATTATAGATTTAACCTTTACTTTTCACCAGTCATATTAAACTCGCTGATTTTGTTGTGGAAATGTTCTAAAGATTGTGAAAGACATCAGCAGTGGAAAGATCACATCCTTCCACTTCCCTCTGGAAAGCGCCATAAAATCAAACATCTTTATTCTTCAACTCCTCATGTTCCTTCTTATATCAGACGGAAGAAGTATATTCCTGTCCAGATGGAAATCATATTTTGTCAAAGGAGATATGCATCTATGCAGCGGGGTTCAGAGAAGTTCACATGTTGCAATCACTTCACGACAGGGTGTGTGTGTGTGTGTGTGTGCGTTCAGAAACACACGCAATACACGATGATGTCATCATGACTGAGAGCGCTGTGCGTGCGACGACCTAATCGCATGTCAATCAAAGGTATGGAAGAGTAAAAACGACATATTTTGAAAATATTTATTTACATGTTGAAAATACAATTGACATTTAACGGTTTAAAATGTCATTTAAACTGTATGAAAGATGCTCCCTTCTTTAAAATCTTTGTTTCATATTTACACACATTTTGTGAATCAATGTAAAAAAAAAATAAGGCTTTAGAATGATTTATAAACACAAAAAAGTAAAACACTTTACAATAGGGTTCATTAGTACATGTATTAACTAACACATCCATTAATGATGTTACAGTAGGCCTATTTATTCATCTTTGTTATAGTTAATAAAAATACAGCTGTTCATTGTTTGTTCATGTTAGTTATTAACTAATGTTAACAAATACAACCTTTATTGGTAAAGGTTGAAATTAATATGAACTAAGATTAATGAATGCTGAACAGGTATTGTTTCTTCTTAATTCATGTTAACTAAGGTAGTTAACTAATGAACCTTATTGTGAAGTGTTACACACTTGACTGAGAACAATAAAACATAAAAAAGTCCCTTGCAGTTTAAACAAATTGTAAAAAAATTTAAAAGGCGACTTTTACTTAAGATCAGAATCTGAGGCAAAAATAGAGCAGATCTTTGGAAAACAATCTAAGAAAGGGTTTTATTTGCTGGAAGAAGAAGAAGCAGTCACTGTTAAAGTCAAACTGTACATGTTCAGATTGATCTGGTCAGTATCTGGTACATGAGAAAGTGTGTCAGCTGTCAGTTTCAGTGCAGTCCTACACAAACACACGCGCGGCACTCCAGGGGATTCTTATGGCTGTTGTAAAGTTTTTGATAATGGCCAAAAACGAACAGGGTCCAAAAGTCTGAGACCACTACTATCCTGATGCTCTTTCGAAACTGTGGCTCTTGTTGGGCCGAAAGAAAACTGATGATTCTCCTGAACAGTTTGAACTTCATTACAAGCAAAAAAGTCTCTTTAACCCCATCCTTCCCTCGGGTCATTTTGACCCAGAAATATTTAATTGATTTTCTTTTAAAAATCGAGTGTTCATCAGGGGGGTCCAAGACCCTATGACTTTTTAAAAAATGGATTTGAGGAGTTTTGTGGTTGGAATTTAAAAAAGTAACGAATCCCTCTCAGGTCAATCTGAGCCCCTTAGGGATGAGTGGAATACGAGGAATGCTGCAGTTCACACAGAAAAACCTTTATTTGAATCTTACAGGTTTAGAATAAATCCCTGACTTGCAGTGATCTCAGACTTTTGAACACCACTGTATTCAGAGAAAAAATGAAATATGGAGCGTCACTGTTATGTCCTTGGCTTTGCTGACGCAGATCTTCACAGTGGAACTGCCCTGTTGGGCTGGTCTTGAAAGCCAGAAATGAATGTCTGTGGAATGAGTTCAAGATCAGAACCAGGATCAGGACTAGGATCAGGATCAAGTTCAGGACCAGGATCAAGATCAAGACCAGGATCAGGACCAGAACCAGGACCAGGACCAGGACCAGGACCAGGATCAGGATCAAGATCAAGATCAAGATCAAGATCAGGACCAGGATCAAGATCAAGATCAAGACCAGGATCAGGATCAGGATCAGGATCAGGATCAGGACCAGGATCAAGATCAAGTTCAGGACCAGGACCAGGATCAAGATCAAGATCAAGCTCAAGCTCAAGATCAGGACCAGGACCAGGATCAAGATCAGGACCAAGATCAAGACCAGGACCAGGATCAGGATCAAGATCAAGATCAAGATCAAGATCAAGATCAAGACCAGGATCAGGATCAGGATCAAGATCAAGATCAAGTTCAGGACCAGGATCAGGATCAAGATCAAGACCAGGATCAGGATCAAGATCAAGATCAAGATCAAGATAAAGATCAAGTTCAGGATCAAGATCAAGCTCAAGATCAGGACCAGGACCAGGATCAAGATCAAGATCAGGACCAGGATCAAGATCAAGATCAAGATCAAGATCAAGATCAAGATCAAGATCAAGATCAAGATCATGTTCAGGACCAGGATCAAGATCAAGATCAAGCTCAAGATCAGGACCAGGATCAAGATCAGGACCAAGATCAAGTTCAGGACCAGGACCAGGACCAGGATCAGGACCAGAATCAGGGTCAGGATCAGGACCAGGACCAGGATCAGGACCAGAATCAGGGTCAGGATCAAGTTCAAGTTCAGTCTCCGGATCAGGATCAAGATCAGGAATTTAGGATCAGACTCCGTATCAGACTCAGGCTCCAGATCAGGATCAAACTCAGGCTCCGGATGCTCCTAGTACAGGTCCCTGATGATCTCCTGCAGGAGCGGGTGAAGGCACCAGTCCACCTCGGTCTCCTTCATGAGTGTGATGAGCTGCACGTGGTTCGTCACCAGCTGACGCAGGTCCGTCATCTTCTGCAGGACTTTGGCGAACAGCTGCAGGGAGTCGGGATGGTTGGTCTTCAGCTGCAGCTCCAGAGAGTGCAGGACCGTCTCCTGAAGGTCCTCGATGGGCTTGACGTTCAGCAGGCCAGGTCGGTCTGGAGGAGGGAAACAGCGCTTCGTTAAACAGAATCACTGAAACTGGCAATCAGTCCATACAGTCCATTTTTACAAACATGTTAAAAAATTAGGATAATCACACACACCCTCCTCACTAATTATCATTATTGTGATAAAAGCATTACATTAAGCAGTAAAAAAACGTCACAATGTTATATTTGTAAAAAACTACCGCGATTAAAATATACATTTACAAACGTTCTCTATAATTTAAAATATTTTCACAATAAATGTTTCATTTTAATAAAAATATGAATTCACATTGATTTCATTTTTAGTAATCCAAAAAACTACAAATGTTCTCTGTAATTTAAATAAATCAAAATAATTATAATACAAAATCATTTCAAATACTTATACAAATATTTAAATTAAATTTCAATGAAAATTAAAAATGAATTCTCATCATGACCCAGTGTAATTTAGTCACTGAGATAAATTTGATTAATAATATTTAATATACGTATATATATTTTTATTAATATTATATTTTTATCATAAAAGTTTAAATTAATATTTTGAATTAGATTTCCGTAACTGTGTAACTTTTATACCAAAAAAAAAAAAAAAAAATCCCATGTGTATAGTTTTTATTCATTTGTATTTCAGTTTTAGTTTTTAAACTTAAATTTCATTAAACTGACTTAAAAAAAAGGTTGCTACTACTTAAACTACTTAACATAAGTCGATGAGTCAAAACAATGTAAAAAAAAAACACACACACATGTGTTATAACTTAATGATCATACACTCTAAAAACTGCTGGGTTGTTTCAACCGAACTTTGGGTCAAATATGGACAAACCCAGCCCTTGGGTTACATTTTTAAATTGAATTTTTAATCCAACGTTTGGGTTTGTCCATATTTGACCAGAAATTGAGTTAAAACAACCCAGAATTTTGTATCCCAGTGTATGACTCGTCCTTTCGATTAAATGTTAAACTGGATGAGATTTTATGGATTTAAAAAAATATACAGCCATTCTCTGCCATTATAAAGCTTGGAAGAGCCAGGACATTTATAACTCTGATTGTATTCGACTGAAAGAAGAATGTCATATACACCTAGGATGACTTCAGGGTGAGTAAATTTGAGGGCGAGTGGGATCATTTTCATTTTTGGGTGAACTATCCCTTTAAGGCTATCTTGGAATGTTGTTTTTGGTGAGATGGTTGATGTGTGTCACCTCCACTCAGGATGATGACGGCGAGGAACAGCGCCATGTCGCTGTCATCCAACTCCAGCATGTTGAACTTGACGGAGAACTCGAACTTGGGCTCCATCATCTCGCAGAAGGGTTTACGCAAGCTCTTGACAAACTCGCGGGTCATGAAGATCTGTCCGTAGGAGATGAGCGTGCCGTCCTTGTTCATGAGCGGCGCCATCATGATGATGAGCACCTCGATCACGCCGTACTTCAGGAGCGTCACCTGGTCGTTCAGGTCCAGGTTCACGAAGCCCGGGATGCTCTTGGCGAACTCGGTGACTTCGCTGACGGCTTCGGCCGATCTTGACTGGCAGCTGTGGAAGAAACGCAGCTCCACTTCGTGAAAGACTCCCATGTCGGATCTCCGCTGCTCCTGCATCGGCATCTGCCGGGAGTTGAACATGTGCTCGCCCTCCATCAGGGACTTCATGTCGTGGATCACGAAAGGCTGTGAACGAGGAGAACGTCCATGATTAGTTTGAGCTATATATGTATAGTGTGTTTGTCTATATGTTTTGTAAGGTTGGGTCTGTAAAGCACTTTGGCCAACTTGTGTTGTTTTTGATTGATTTTGTGTTGATTGATTGATTGATTGAATCTGCTTCCACTAAGAAAGATGCAGCTGGTCACTTAATTTTGGGTTAAAACCCATAGAGTAACTGAACTATGGGGTGGGTGGTATAGCACCTTCCCAATGGTGGGTTATTTTTACCCAATGTACAGGGTTATAACTAGAAATTACCCTACGATTTAAAAAAATGACCCAATATGTGTAACCCAACATTGTTTACTGTGTGTAACCAATGCAGTCCAAGAATTTATTTTCTATGAATGAGTTCAAATGGTTCAATATGGTGTTGCACTGGGACTCGAGTACGACCACATGATAAACATTATTACAATATGGCCTCTTAAAGAAAGGCTCTACATTATGCTCTTGCTCAAAGTCTTGATGTAGTTTCAGGCTCTACCAGAACAGGTTTTCCTGCTTGAATGTTGATTATTTTCCTCATATTCTCCATTGTTGCAGCTCCTCTCTTCCCAGTCTGTCAGTAACGCTCTGTTTACTTCCTGTCTCTATGAAGCCCCTCCTTCTGAAAAGCACACTGTGCTCTGATTGGTCGCCTGGAGCAGTGTGTTGTGATTGGTCGAGCGCTTCGAGTGTGTGGGAAATGTCCCGCCCCTTTCCACAACCGCCTGTTTAACACACTACTAACTAACTCAACCAGGCCCCGCCCCTTTATTCTGCGTATGAATTATTATAAGGAATATTGTGACGTGTTTGTTCCCGGAAGAAACTCAAGACTACAATGGAGGCGTTTCAGGAGTTCAGAAACACTGACACTGATATAGAGATGAACTTGAGCTTGTTCATGATCAAACAGCAACATCACACACTAAACAGATGAAGAAAAGCAGAACCACCAGCATGTCTTGTCTATAGTTGAAAATGAACTTCTCTCATGTGCTTTTTAGGCTCAAAACATGCAAGTAATCTTGAGTAATCGTGTATCAAAAATGTCAGACTCCAATCCATAACACAAGGGGTGCTATAACTCACCCGGGAGAATCCGTCTAAACTAAAGGCTTTCTCTCCCAGCTCAAGGTCACAAATATCTTGTTCAACAAGTTTGTTTTATCACTAAACAAAAACCTGGTGTAGGATTTCCTTTGAAACATTTTCACTCAAAAAAAAAAAAAAAAAAATTGTTTACAGTGAAACTGATGCATAAAACATCCAGTGTAATGAAACGAACATCGGCTGCATCTGAAATCGCATACTTCCCTAATATAGTAGGAGAAAAACAGTAGGTGACTTAAGTATGTGTGAATTTACTGTACTATTATATAGACCTTTCTTGTTAAAGCTTGCAAAGTAAGCATTCAAAGTACCTAATCGAAGATTATGATATTTGGGATGCAGCCATGAAGGAGCCTCTAGCGCCCCCTTGAGGACCGGAGGTAAACAGGCCTGTGAGCTCTAGAACATGTAACATAAAACTCAGTAAAACAGTGAAATATTATTCCAGTGTAAATCAGCAGTTTTCTATGTGAATATATAGTAAAGTGTAATTTATTCCTGTGGTCAAAGCTGAGCTTTCAGCATCATTACTCCAGTCTTCAGTGTCACATGATCCTTCAGAAATCACTCTAATATGATGATTTGATGCTCAAGAAACATTTATGATTATTATCAGTGTTGAAAACAGTTATTTACATTTTTTTTCAGGATTCTTTGACTAATACAAAGAATTTATCTGAAATAGAAAGCTTTTGTAACATTAGAGTTTGGGGTCAAGTGAACATTTTATTTAATTTTTTGGGGGAAGAAATAAAATAAATCAATACTTTTATTCATCAAGGCTTAATTCAATTGATCAAAAGTGACAGAAAAGACATTTATAACCTTAAAAAAAGATTCTATTTTAAATAAAAGCTGTTCTTTTAAACTTTCTATTCATCAATAAAAATGTAAATAACAGTTTTCAATACTGAAAATAATCATAAATATTTCTTGATCATCATATTAGAGTGATTTCTGAAGGATCATGTGACACTGAAGACTGGAGAAATGATGCATCTTTGATCACAGAAATAAATTACATTTTTAAATATATTAAAAAAGAAAATTGTTATTTTAAGTTGCCGTAATATTTAACAATATTACCGTTTTTGTTGTTGTTGTATTTTTAAAGAAATGAATGCAGCCTTGGTGAGCAGAAGAGACTACTTTAACTTGAGAACGGCGGTGTGCATCAATACTTTGATATTTCCTCCCTGCAGTCGTTGCCTTTAGAGATGTGTATAATGTCTCCGCAGAGCAGATGTTCGTATCGTTCACAGCGTTAGACAAAACACATATCCAACAGCCTTGCTCATATCTCGAGCTGAAGACTTACGGGTACGCTGCAACTCAACTTATTTCTGTCAACACAGTAGTAATGTTCAGTGGAGAGGCTATAACCATAATTGCTATTTATATGAAAAAAATGGCAACATTTTACGATTAGGTTAACTAGCATGAACTGCACTTATACAGCATTTATTAATCTTTGTTAATGTTAATCTCAACATTTACTAATACTTTATTAAAATCTTTTTAATATTACTCAATACACTGTGAACAAACATAAACAAACAATAAACAGCTGTATTTTTATTAACTAACATTAACAAAGATGAACACTGTAACAAATGTATTGATAAATAATAGTTCTTGAAATAATCTAAGAGTGAAACGTGTCTGTTATTATGATTGGTCATGCACATCAATATTTATGTTTATGATGAAAGTAGTGTGTGAGAATGAGATTATCTGTGTTTTAACCGACGGAAACCTGAATTTCTGCTATAGGCTTCGCTTCAAGTGCACTTCATGCAGCGTCTAGACAGTGGCGGAGCGACGATCATGGTTTTGAATGTCTACATCCGTGAAAGGTCAAGAGCTGAACATTTAAAGAGCACATATTCTGCTTTTCTTCATCTGTGTTTAGTGTGTAATGTTGGTGTTTGATCATGAACAAGCTCCAGTTCTTCTCTATATCAGTATCAGTGTTTCTGAACTCCTGAAACCCCTCCATTGTAGTCTTGAGTTTCTTGCGGGAACGAACACGTCACAATATTCCTCATTATAATAATTCATATGTAGAATAAAGGGGCGGGGCCTGGTTGAGTTAGTCAGCACGTATCACTTCTGGATAACTTAAAGGGATAGTTCAGCCAAAAAATTAAAACTCTGTCAGTAATTACACGCTCTCATGTTGTTCCAACCCCATAAGACTTTCGTTCATCTTTAGAACACAAATTAAGATATTTTTTAGATCTGTCTCACTCCCCCATAGGCTTCTGTGTAATTGAAACTTGCCGGCCCAGAAAAGTTAATGAAGACATTGTTAAAATAGTCCGAGTGACTACAATGGCTCAACCTTAAGTCTACCAAGTGACCAGAATACTTTTTGTGCGCAACCATGCATGTATGACATGCCATATTCATATTTAAATTTTTGGCGTGCTATCAACACGCATAATCACTTTTCAGCGTGTTTACGAACGCCGTTGACTTAACGTTACATTTCCATACCCTAACCCTGTCCCTAAATCTACCAGTCACTGGGGTTAATACCATTTATGAGTCTTCCCCTACCATCCTAGGAAAAAAAATATCGCTCCCAGATGTAGATCTACATTTTGCTTCGTTACGCTCTGACATTTACACGGCGTGGACATATTCATCGTGGACATTTAACGGCGTAGACATACACGCAGATAGCTCAAAATGCGTATAGAGAACACGCCACTTGACTTGAAAGTGGCATGTATGTTTACGCAAATTCATGATGCCATGTTTAAAATGGTTCTGAAGTGTGCATGTCTGACTCAGACAGCCTCTAGTGGCCAGTCGAAGAACTGCAGTTTAAGTCATGGATTCAAGAGAGAGGCTGGAAGGTTGCTGGTTGGCAGGGCATTTCCCAATCACTCGAAGCGCTCAACCAATCACAACACACTTATCCAGCCGATCAATCAGAGCACAATGTGCTTTTCAGAAGGAGGGGCTTGATAGAGACAGGAAATAAACAGAGCGTTACTGACAGATTGGGAAGAGAGGAGTCGAAACAATGGAGAATGTGAGGGAATAATCAACACTCAAGCAGAAAAACCTGTTCTAGTAGAGCCTGAAACTACAAGAATTTGCATACTCAGTCCTCGGTAAATGACGCAACCGAACCGATCTAGTGAAAGTGTCCAGACTCACGGAGTTGTCGCTGGTCTTCCCTGAGAGAATGGCTCTGGCCTTGGCTTTGGTCAGGGGGAAGTACTTGAGATAGGACTCGTACAGGAGTCTGGCCAGCGCCCTGAGATCCGCAGACTCCGGGTGCATGTGGTCCACGTCACTTGAGAACTCAGCCAGCAGCTTCTCCTTCTCCGCCTGAGGCATTCGGCCGAAACGAATGGCTGGGAAAAAAGCAAACAAACAGACAGTTGAAAACCCCCAAATCCCAGATCCATCATGCTGGGAGTCTATGCTTAACGTCTCGGTCTGTGGGGAGTGTGTGTGGGAGTGTGTTTTCAGTGTTTCTACATGTTAGCGCGGGTCATTATGACCGATTCAAACATTCTTCAGTGCTTTTCTTCTGACACTAATATAGAAATGTTTATACTAAAAACATTTTTTTTTTTTACTTATAAATTGCTAGTAAATCTCACATGAAAAGTAAAACATTGAATTAAACGGGAAATCTTCTCCTGTAATCTTTTTACAGCGTAGTTTCAAAAAGTAGATTTCACGAAAAATATATTTGAATTGACCCAATATTTAGCATGGTGTGAAAATATATGCAGTGTATAAATATAATTTTAGACATTTAGAACAGTTTTATCTCCTTTATAGACAATCACAATATTTAAATTTCGGTTTCACTTTATTTTGATAAACACATTCTGTTGACTGTAAGTAACTTTGCAAATACAGTTTCATGAGAGTGTTAGTAGAGTATTAGTGGAGTATGAGTATTAGTAGAATCTTAGTATTGGTAGAATATTAGTACTGGTAGAGTATTAGTACTAGTAGAGTATTGGTGAAGTACTAGTAGAATATAAGTGGAGTATTAGTAGACTGGTAGGGTCCGGGTTAGTTGAGTATTAGTAGAGGTTTAGTGAAGTACTAGTAGAGTATTAGTAGAGTATTACTGGAGTATTAGTAGACCCCTGTAGGTAGGGTTTGGGTTAGTTGAGTATTAGTGAAGTATTAGTGGAGTAACAGTAGACTGGTAGGGTTAGGGTTAGTTGAGTATTGGTGTCTGGTAGGGTTCGGGTTGGTAGAGTATCAGTAGAGAATTAATAGAGTATTAGTAGACTGGTAGGGTTCGGATTAGTAGAGTTTTAGTAGACTGGTAGGGTTCGGATTAGTAGAGTTTTAGTAGACTGGTAGGGTTCGGGTTAGTGGAGTATTAGTAGACTGGTAGGGTTCGGGTTAGTAGAGTATTAATAGACTGGTAGATTTTGGGTTGGTAGAGTATTAGTAGAGTATCAGTAGAGAATTGATAGAGTATTAGTAGACTGGTAGGGTTCGGGTTGGTAGAGTATTAGTAGAGTATCATTAGAGAATTAATAGAGTATTAGTAGACTGGTAGGGTTCGGATTAGTAGAGTATTAGTAGACTGGTAGGGTTTGGGTTAGTAGAGTATTAGTAGACTGGTAGGGTTCGGGTTAGTCGAGTATTAATAAAGTTTTAGTAGAGTAGAGTATTAGTAGAGTATTAGTAGACTGGTAGGGTTCGGGTTAGTCGAGTATTACTAAAGTTGTAGTAGAGTAGAGTATTAGTAGAGTATTAGTAGACTGGTAGGATTCGGGTAAGTAGAGTATTAGTAGACTGGTTGGGTTCGGGTTGGTCGAGTATTACTAAAGTTTTAGTAGAGTAGAGTATTAGTAGAGTATTAGTAGACTGGTGGGGTTCGGGTTAGTCGAGTATTACTAAAGTTTTAGTAGAGTAGAGTATTAGTAGAGTATTAGTAGACTGGTAGGGTTCGGGTAAGTAAAGTATTAGTAGACTGGTTGGGTTCGGGTTGGTCGAGTATTAGTAGAGTTTTAGTAGCGTATTAGTGGAGTATTAGTAGAGTATCAGTAGAGAATTGATAGAGTATTAGTAGACTGGTAGGGTTCGGATTGGTAGAGTATTAGTAGAGTATCATTAGAGAATTAATAGAGTATTAGTAGACTGGTAGGGTTCGGATTAGTAGAGTATTAGTAGACTGGTAGGGTTCGGATTAGTAGAGTATTAGTAGACTGGTAGGGTTTGGGTTAGTAGAGTATTAGTAGACTGGTAGGGTTCGGGTTAGTCGAGTATTAATAAAGTTTTAGTAGAGTAGAGTATTAGTAGAGTATTAGTAGACTGGTAGGGTTCGGGTTAGTCGAGTATTACTAAAGTTGTAGTAGAGTAGAGTATTAGTAGAGTATTAGTAGACTGGTAGGATTCGGGTAAGTAGAGTATTACTAAAGTTTTAGTAGAGTAGAGTATTAGTAGAGTATTAGTAGACTGGTAGGATTCGGGTAAGTAGAGTATTACTAAAGTTTTAGTAGAGTAGAGTATTAGTAGAGTATTAGTAGACTGGTTGGGTTCGGGTTGGTCGAGTATTACTAAAGTTTTAGTAGAGTAGAGTATTAGTAGAGTATTAGTAGACTGGTGGGGTTCGGGTTAGTCGAGTATTACTAAAGTTTTAGTAGAGTAGAGTATTAGTAGAGTATTAGTAGACTGGTGGGGTTCGGGTTGGTCGAGTATTACTAAAGTTTTAGTAGAGTAGAGTATTAGTAGAGTATTAGTAGACTGGTGGGGTTCGGGTTGGTCGAGTATTACTAAAGTTTTAGTAGAGTAGAGTATTAGTAGAGTATTAGTAGACTGGTGGGGTTCGGGTTGGTCGAGTATTACTAAAGTTTTAGTAGAGTAGAGTATTAGTAGAGTATTAGTAGACTGGTGGGGTTCGGGTTAGTCGAGTATTACTAAAGTTTTAGTAGAGTAGAGTATTAGTAGAGTATTAGCAGACTGGTAGGGTTCGGGTAAGTAAAGTATTAGTAGACTGGTTGGGTTCGGGTTGGTCGAGTATTAGTAGAGTTTTAGTAGCGTATTAGTGGAGTATTAGTAGAGTATTAGTGGCATATAGTAGAGTATTAGTAGACTGGTAGGGTTTGGGTTGGTAGAGTAATAGTAGAGTTTTAGCAGAGTATTAGTGGAGTATTAGTAGAGTGGTAGGGTTCAGGTTAGTAGAATAAGTTGACATGTAGTTGCAAAGTTGCTTAAAGCCATATCTGTTGAGGAGCATCACAATAAAGAGTTAGCAGATATTAAGGGACAATCCACTAATACTCTAATGACGCTTTGGATAAAAGCGTCTTCTAAATTAATAAATATAAATGTAAATGAAAGCTATTTGACTTGTAGTTGCAAAGTTAGTCAACAGAATGTTTAAAAGGGACCATCAGAATAAAGTATGACCTAAATTTCTGTTCAAGACAGAGCAATAAAACTTAAGTGCATGATGATGTCAGTGCGTGGATTATCATGACATTTCCTCTATTAGACACACAGAGACACTCCCTGATTATAGATATAATAATCACCAGAAGAACAGAAGTCTGCACTGAAACAAATCATCATTGGACCAAGTATACTCCATTAGTTTGTTACAATTATTTACAGAATTTAGTTCAAATTGATTATTAAATTTTGAATAAATATTCATTTATTTTCCCAAAGACAAAAACATTTCAAGAACATAAAAAGATTTATTACTTTAATATATTTTCTTTGGACATAAGCCAAAATGTTACTTAATGTACTTAAT